GAAACGTGGCCACGAAATAATTATATATAATATATCACAGCGTAGCCAGGAGACATGGTCTATATTGCAATCTGATAAATGTATGAATGTGCGAGGTCTCTCATTACTGTTTATTTTGGAAACCTAACTAGTAAGTACACAGTTTGAAAATTTGTGTTCTTTTTTTTGTTAAAAACGGCCCTTGTTAAAATTTTTATATTTAACTTTATATACTTAATATTTATTTAATATTTATTGTGTAAATATTTACACATGTCATGTGTGTTAATTTAATATATTGCTGCTGTGATATTAATTGTACTCACATATTAAAATTATTAAAACAACGGAAAAGAAGTGTAAAAATAACATAATAAGCATCTATTTTTTGTTAAATTAACTCAATTAACTTAAAAATTTCTGCAGACTGTTTATGAGACACGTGATATTGTTTTTAACACAAATTTTCAATTATGTATATAATAATAATTGGAATTATCTAAAACCTTTCGGCATTTTTATTCTTATACAAACACATATACATATATATAATTTTATATTGTTCACAGTTCCACGAAGAGTTTGGAAAATGCAAGATGTTTTAATATAATTTCAGAACAATTCCCAGATTGTCTCCTCGATCAACTGAAGATACTTGAAACAATGTATTTTAAGAAAATGTTAATATTCCAATAACAAAACAACCTAACAAGTTGGTAATTATTTATATAGTCTCATCTATATATTATTTTAACTAATTAATATACTTCTACCTTAAGGGATCCTAAATGATGTTTTTACCGACCGAATGCGAGAATATTTATTTTTTTCATATAACTTTTATTGACTATACTGATCAATAAATCCTTTTCCACGATTAAAGTACTTATAAAAACGGACCGCGCTAGCTATGTTTGCATATATAAATCATATAAAAATCAAAATTACAGTTTTGTTATCGGCTGCTTTGTGTCAGTTCGTAATAATACTTATTTAATAAAAAAGTTTTGCAGTTTGTCTGTGCATGAAATATAGTATGCGCGGTAAGGATTATATGAAGAAATATTAGTAAGCAATTAAAAGTGAGATTGCAAGTCTAATAAAAAAGTTATATATAAAAAAACATTTCACGCATATGTGTGTGTGCAAATCGAGGCTGCGGAATAAAACAGAGCAGTAGATTAGTTGCGTGATATCGTGATAGATGGAGCTGCAACGTGTTTCTCTCTCTCTCTCTCTCTCTCTCTTTCGCTCTCTCTCTTTCTGTTTTTATAAGGTCTGTTCGTTTTGGCTACACTGGCCACATTAGTTCAGAGGTTGTCTTTTTTGTTCGACATTGGAAGGAAAAAGATAACCTCTGAATTAGTGTAGCCAATGTATGCCATTATATATTTTATGTTTGATAATATAAATAATACATCAATTTTTTTTATAAAAAACTATATATAAAACAGAAAAAATTTTGTGTTATTTATATTATCAAACACATGAAATATATAATGACATACAATTTTATTTTAATTATATTGTATAATACAATAATATTCACATGATTTTTATAGATAATAAGTATATGCATTTATAATTTATAAAAACTAAATCTTATTTTTCATACATCGAAGTAATTCGAGTAATGATTTTACTGAATATATATATTTGATAGACATTGTGATTCTAACGAATTTTATTTGTTCGCATATACCTGTAAATTATTATAAAAATTACTTTTACTGTAAATGTAAGATAAATTGTATGCAATCTATAAAAAAAACAGAGAGAGAGAGAGAGAGAGAGAGAGAGAGAGAGAGAGAGAGAGAGAGAGAGAGAGAGAGCGAGCTTTTTTTACTTTCCCGAAAATAGAGACATTCAATGCAAACGGTGAATTGTATATCTCTTTACGACACGTACAGCCGGGGAAAAATTTTTTATATATAATTATATAAAATAATTGTATAATTATACATATAATTTTGCGATTATATGTATAAAATTATACAATTATTTTAATATAATTATATATAAAAAATTTTTTCCCGGGTTGTATGTGTCGTAAGGAAATATATGTATAATTGATCGTTTGCATTGAATGTCACTATTTTCTGAAAAGTAAAAAAAGAGAACTCTCTCTCTCTCTCTCTCTTTCTTGATCCTTTATGCTTATTGTTAGTATTCTATCAATTAGTAATCAATGCAATCAATCATATCGTTTTACGGCAACAGCCAGTTACTCGTTCACTCACTCATTCATTCTTTTAAAATATGTCCATTTTTATACATAATTATGTAAATTTATATATAAAAAATAAGGGTGCATATATAATCATGTCAAATTTGTATATGAAACATATATATTTATATATATAAAGAAATACTTATTTATTACACTTGTATATATATATATATATATATATATATAAATTTATATAATTATATATAACAAGCACTTTTACTTAATTATGTATAGACATATTTCATAATATAATTCTGCGATTATACGTATACTTTTATATATTTCTATATAATATTATATTATTATATACACAAATTTTTGTCCCGGGGTATTTTAAACTTTTATTTTCTTTTTCTTTCCCCATTCTTGTTTGTCTTTACATGCATGTTATTATGTTGTATGTGTATCATGTATAATTTGGATTTGTATGTATGTTGAGAAGATTGGAATAGATAAAATTTTATTACTTCATGTTTTTATATTATAAATGCAGCTTTTTGTAAATATCCGAAATAAATAATTTTTCTACAAATATTTTAAATTTATCAAAATATTTTTTACTGCACAATTAGACTAATATATTTTGCATTATTCTATCTTTATTAATTTTTTTCATAATAAAATGGATTTTATTGAACAAATAATAAATAGTAAATAGAGAAAATATAAAATATCGAAAAGAATATATTCATATAAACATATATTTGTGAAATCGAAATTTTGTTAAAATTGACTTTCATAGAAATTGTATTTTATAAATTTAATTAAAAAAAGCTGCATTTATCAGATAGAAACATAAAGTAATAAAATAATATATTCCAATCTTCTCAACACACACACACACACACACACACGCGCGCACACAACTTCTCATAACAAATGTTATATAAATTATACATATACAGGATGTAACAACGATCATATATCAGGAGTTTTTAGAAGAAAATACGTATTTTATTGAAAAATGTTTTATTACCAAAGTTATAAGGGTTACTTATCATTACATAGTAGTATTAGTATTATGTTGAATAGCATTATCAAAGTCACATAAAGATTATTTGGAAATAATGGAAACCCTCATTTTTTATTGCATGTACATACATGTAGCTTACTTTGAGAGCTTTTCTAAATAAATTTTTCATTCTGTGCATGCAATAAAAAATGAGGATTTCCATTATTTCCAAATAATCTTTATGTGACTTTGATAATGCTATTCAACATAATACTAATACTACTATGTAATGATAAGTAACCCTTATAACTTTGGTAATAAAACATTTTTCAATAAAATACGTATTTTCTTCTAAAAACTCCTGATATATGATCGTTGTTACATCCTGTATATGTATAATTTATATAACATTTGTTATAAGAAGTTGTGTGCGTGTGTGTGTGTGTGTGTGTGTGTGTGTGTGTGTTGAGAAGATTGGAATATATTATTTTATTACTTTATGTTTCTATCTGATAAATGCAGCTTTTTTTAATTAAATTTATAAAATACAATTTCTATGAAAGTCAATTTTAACAAAATTTCGATTTCACAAATATATGTTTATATGAATATATTCTTTTCGATATTTTATATTTTCTCTATTTACTATTTATTATTTGTTCAATAAAATCCATTTTATTATGAAATAAATTAATAAAGATAGAATAATGCAAAATATATTAGTCTAATTGTGCAGTAAAAAATATTTTGATAAATTTAAAATATTTGTAGAAAAATTATTTATTTCGGATATTTACAAAAAGCTGCATTTATAATATAAAAACATGAAGTAATAAAATTTTATCTATTCCAATCTTCTCAACATACATACAAATCCAAATTATACATGATACACATACAACATAATAACATGCATGTAAAGACAGACAAGAATGGGGAAAGAAAAAGAAAATAAAAGTTTAAAATACCCCGGGACAAAAATTTGTGTATATAATAATATAACATTATATAGAAATATATAAAAGTATACGTATAATCGCAGAATTATATTATGAAATATGTCTATACATAATTAAGTAAAAGTGCTTGTTATATATAATTATATAAATTTATATATATATAATATATATATATATATATATATATATATATATAAGCAGAGCCGGTTTAAGGTATTTGTAGGCCAGGGGTTGATGTTAAAACGGGGCCTCCTTCATTCATATAAGAATTGTCTACTTGCGTAGATAAATATCTATTTTTAATAAAAATTATTTATTGAATAATAACATTGAATTAAATGCAAAATAGATACATATTTTGCAATTCTTATTTAAACGTGATTGTTCGTATGACTTTTGTCGTTTCTGTTTAAACGATATAAGTAAGTTCTGGATGCTGAAAAATAAATACATGAAAATAATTCACATTTTATTGAAATTACAGTAGTACTTATAAAAGTTTTTTTCTTGATTTATTGCGCGCAAATTCATTGATTAAATCATTAAATTCAAGATTTTTAGCAATTCGCTCTCTATTGCTAATAATGCTAATGACGATAATCTAGTATCCGTCATTGTGGATCGATATTTATTTTTTATTATAGTTAATTTAGAAAACGATCGCTCGGCCTCGCAATTTGCGATCGGTATTGTCATAAATAGTCTAAATGCTACGTATATATTTGGAAAGACTTCTTCAAGTTTTCGATCGCACATCCATTTTAAAATATCCAATGGAAAGAATGTAACATTTTTGAAGCTAGTTTTTATAAACGGAATAAATTGTTCCAGTTCGCAACCTAAACTACTTTCTAAATCATGAGAATAAATGCTAACAAGACGATTAGCGCACTCTCGCATTTCATCGATTTCGATGGTCATCAATTTAGTTAGAAAGCCAAATAACTTTGTTATGTGATTATACGCCGAACTTCGTTTTTCTAATTCAACTCGAAGTTTGTCAATGATTACATTAAATGATTCAATACGGAATTTTTCGCAACCATTTAAATTTTGAATCTCCGTTACATTATCTGCACATTTTTTTTTAATTTTTCGTTTCTGTGTATCAGAATATTTTTGTTGTACAAAAGAGCCTAAATTTTTAGAATCGTTTTCTATTGCTACAAAATCATTTCTTACGTCACTAATAAATTTAACTAGCGAGTGTAGCATATCATTAGCCGTAATCAAGTCGAGTTCGATTTTTTGCACAAATTTGCTAGTTATATTGAATCGTTGAAGAACTCGATGCCAAAAAACTGTCATAAATGCAGTTTCTAGTTTTGTTAATTTGTTTTTTAAGGACATTGCTTCGTGACGAGTTTCGGTCTTTTCTTCTTCACTTTGCTCAATCTCATACAATGAATTATATAATTCTAAATAATTCTGAGCTAATGCAGTAATGGCATCATCGCAGCATGACCATCTTGTAGAAGATAAACTTTTTAATGTAGTGCTCGCGTGTTTTAGCAATATGCTCCAACGATGCGTAGAAATGGAAAAGAAAGCATAAAGTTGTTGTACAAACCGGAAAAAATTTACAGAATCGATACATTCATCTACGCTGCATTCGCCAACTAAATTTAGTGAGTGTCCTACACAAGGAACGTAATACGCAAGAGGATTAACTTCTTTAATTCGTGCTTGTAATCCCGAGTATTTTCCAGACATGTTACTGGCATTATCATAAGTTTGCGCTCGACAGTAAACAATGTCAATTTCATTATTGCGAAGAACTTGTAATATTGTTTCATTCAATGATGCTCCAGTATGGCTATTAATAGGTAAAAAGCAAAAGTAGCGTTCATACACACAACCATCCAAACAGTACCGGAATACAATAGATAACTGATCAACGTGAGATACATCTGGTGTCGAATCTACAATAAGGCTGAAATATTTTGCTCTCTTAATTTGGCTAAGAATTTCGTTCTTAACTTTGTTAGCCATCATGTGAATAAATTCTTCACAAATATCTTTTGACAAATAGGAAACGTGCCCGCGACCTTGATTTGCATGCAAGTCAAAGTGTTTTTTTAAGAATGGATCAAATTTAGAAATCAGTTCCAAAACACCCAAGTAATTTCCATTATTTGGAGAACCAATCACTTCATGCTCGCCCCGAAAAGCAAGACCGCGTGCAGAAAGAAAACGAATTACTTCGACAATGCGTTTTAAAACTTCAGTCCAATACTTAATCTCATCTTGTAGCTGCTTAGCCATATAATTATTAATATGTGATTTTTCATGCACGAATGTGAGCCAAGTAAGCATGCATTTTTTGTGTTCTGCACTATTTTCATGTCCACTAATCTTTTCTTCTGCTTTCTTCCAATTGCTAAATCCGCCGTTTACAAATGTGTTTGTATTATTTCCACTAAAAAGCTTACAAACGTAACAGAAAACATTCCCAGTAGACTCTGAATATATCAACCATTTTCGCGTGCATTTTTCACCGTTAGCCAAAGTTCGTGAAAAAACCTTCGAAGATAAAAATCTGTTTTGATCTTTATATTGTCTAACAGAAGCTTGAAAATTGTTATCTTTTTTCTGAAAATATTCATAGCCTTTATCCAAATACTTTTGTCTCACATCATCATGCATTTCCATGGGCCACAGAAAGGGATCTTTATTTACAGGTTCTGAAAAGTATAAAATAAATAAGGAGAAAGAATAGGGAGAGAGAACAAGAGATAGGAGAGAGAGAGAGAGAGAGAGAGAGGACGGGGAGAAAAGAGAGACTGCATTGACAACTGACAAGATTTTGTTTGTCACCACAATCAGAAGATTCTAAATGTACAGAAAACTTGTGTAATTTTTACAAAAACAGCAAATAAAATTTTATATTTTAATTTTGCAAATTGTAACCTGCAAAAACGTACCTATGACGAGCTTGGCTTTCCTGCTTATTACGTTCTGATTATTCATGTCACAACTGTCATCTGAGTGTTCATTACAAATGACAGCATCCTTAATACTGAGTTCATCACTATTAGTAGAAAGTACCGAATTTAATGTTAACACCGAGATTTGCTGAATCTTATCGTCATCTTCATTAGCAATAGTGCCTCCAGTTTTTATTTCGGCAGGAAAGAAGTTGGTCAGTTTCGGTAGTTTATTTTTAAAATCTTCATGTTTCTGTTTCGCTTTACGTTTCGAAGTATCACTAGCGTATTTTCGTGGAATCATCACAAACGATAAATGGTAGACCGATAAACATGGACTTTCCCAACGGATGCGGACGTCTTTTACTTTTATTCATGTGACAATTGCCGCACGCGGCAGGGCGGCCACAACGTCATGAGAAATAAACAAATTTTATGGATTTTATATATGTGTGTGTGTGTGTATATCTTCAGATAAAAACACCAGTGTACTTTTTTTTACTGAACATTGTGTCTGTACACGATGATTCATTGTATGAGGAATGCAAAATTAAAATTTTTAATTATTTATTTGCATTCGATTATTTACTTTCATCGATGAAATACAATTTTATTTGAAAGCTAAGGGGCCCCTTATAAAGATGGGGCCGGGGGCTGTAGCCCCCTTAGCCCCCCCCTTAACCCAGGACTTATATAATATAAGAATAAAGGGGATATCATTAGAATATCGCAAAAAATTTATAGATGAAGAAAATCTTGCAAATTTTAAAATCATCTTTATTTTTTGAATGATCTCAAGAATACAAAGTTTTACTGTGGATATCACGTTGCAGGACATCCTGCGTATATATACACATACATACATACATACATACATACATACATACATTCATATATATATATATATATATATATATATACAAGGTGGTTCAAAAGTCCGGCAACGGTCAATTATGTCCAAGAAATAGTGATCTTATGAATAAAATATAAAAATTGCAGGGTTCAACCCGGGAAAAATTTTTATATATAATTATATCTAAATAATTATATAATTATACATAATTATATGTGAAATATGTTTATTTTATATATAATTAAATTTATTTATATATAAATTATGAAGTTCATGTATAATCTCATGTCAAGTTATATATGAAACATTATATTTATTTATATATGTGAATACTTATTTATTATATATACAATATATATGTATATATATATATTTATATAAGTATATGTATATAAAAAGCTCTTTTATCTAATTATATATAGACATATTTCATATTTAATTTTGCAATTATATGTATAATTTTATATATTTCTATATAATTTTATATTGTTATATATAAAAATTGTTTCTAGGAAAAATAAGATATTTTATGGTGACCTTGACTTTGACGTAAGGGTCAAATTTAGAGGTCATTTCAAGATCAACTTTTATTAAACAAAACCCTCTATTTTTATTAGATATTCTTGTAGCTTATCTCGAGAATTTTCCAAAACACTAATAAAATATTTTTTGATGTACTTATTGAGTTATAAAGGTTTGAAGTGAACAATTCTTTTATAAAATTGACAATATCTTGTAAAACATTCAATTTTCGTTATATATTTATACTTTTTATGCACGGAATAATGAGACCAATCAATAGGTGCAAAGAAAACACAGTTGCAAAAGACGTATGTAATTTTCAAGAAGCAACTGCCCAGCAAACATTATAATTGCTATATAACACGTAAATAACGTGCATGTAACATGTAACATACACGTTAGTTGTAATTTCCCACTTATGGATTCTACGAGTATTATTTATTGTAATTATAGATAGGATAGTGACTTAACGAAAGATTATCTTTCGGCATCCTACAATATCGATGCTATCTGGGATGTAATTACAATATATAAATAACATATGTCATATTACAAATGTTACATCTATGAGTGAGAAATTACCGTATATGTTACATGTAACATGCACGTTATATAGTATTATATACATGTAACATAGCAGTTATATTTTGTGTTTGCTGGGTGCATTTTCTTTACACCAAATTGGTCTCATTATTATGTGCATAAAAATAAAAAGTATGATAACGTAAAACTGAATATTTTACAAAGATATAATTTTATGTCAAACAATTGCTTCGCATCTTTATAATTTAAAAAGTACTTCATGAAAAAATGTTTTATTATAATGCTTTGGAAAGCTGTCGAGATAAGCTACAAGAATATCTAATAAAAAATAAAGGATTTTAAAAAGTTGACCTATAAATGATCTCAAAATTTGACACCTAGGTAAAAGTCAACACCTTTAGTATTTTTTTCATAAGACCACTATTTTCGGAGATAATTGGCCATTGCCAGATTTTTGAATCACCATGTACATATTATATATATGTTTATGCATGGATATATGCATCTATATACATGTATATATATGTATATATTTCTTACATATATAAATGCATGCATAAATGCATACATATACATATACAAATACATATACACATACATGTATACACATACGTGTATGGTATAAGCATACGTGTATGGTACGTATATTGATATTACCTGTAATTTTCTATAAATTACAATGTATGCAGTACGCACAATTCGCTTTTCTTCTCTTATCAATAATTGAGAAAATAGCAAATATATTCAAATAACCAGCTGTATATTTTTATATAATATAACAGAATATTATATAATATAATATACAAAACATTTTTATGCATATATAGAATGAAATGGGCCCCTCCATCGCCCATTCCCGTGAGAACGCAACCATAATATATGTATTTTTTTCGTCTCCGATTTTTGCAAATGAGACATTTGTATTAGACACTTTTTTGCAACAATATTTATTAGAATTACACATTTCTAGTATAATGATAAACAAAAAGGCGTGTTGCCTTCTACTTGCATTTTGAATAATCTTGCAGTAAAACCATTACCAGATGTTTTGTCAGATTTCAATGATTACGAAAAATGTTAATCAAGAGAATTAGCAGCTTTCAAGTAGTGCAATTGATGGGCAATGTTTCGAACAAACATATACCGCATAGACAAATGATCCGCAAAGTAAAAGGCAGAACATTTCATTTGCCTCTACCTTTACAAGAAACATTGGATAAGGTATGTCCTCCGGAAGATTCTATAAATTTGAATCACGAGTTGCACATTCTCGTTTGAGGTATACCCAAGAAATCTAAAGTGGTTTGGGAAAATTTGGTGGATATTAATAAAGTGTATAAGGCTTTACAATGGTTGAAAGAAAATAATCCTCATTACTCGAAAATTCGTCTTCCGGCGCCATCTGATGATCTATTAAATGATAAGTTGCAGGAAACAGAATATCGGATTGTCGATGACGAAAGCGACAATGACGAAATAAATGAGATGGTTGAGATATTACCAGCATTGAATTTGTACAATGTACAGAAAGACAAAAATAATAATGATCAAATCGTTTTAAAACGTAGGGCTTTCATCACACAAATCACTGAAGATTCGGATATTAACGATCAGTATACAATATACCCAATACACGCGAAAAGAATCGATAACGAATCTGCATTGAAGCTTTATCAAATGATGAAAATTGAAGATTTTCCAATGGATAATCGTTATAAATATCTGGATGTCATGTGTTTCCCTGATTTATATCCTGATGGTGTCAATGGACAACGAAAAGATAGAAACTTTGCATTGCCGGAATATTTATTTATTAGAACACGATTGATGTCGAAACATAGTAGATTCAAGTTGAATCTGCAGTATCTGTTTTTCCTTCTCAATGATGCTAACTACCGACAGTTGAAAAGTGGTATCTATTATACGATGATGGTTACTAACCCACGAGAGAGATACACTGCTGGTAGATACTTGAACGAATTGAAAGGTTACGAATTAGAATCGAATTTAATGAATATTTTTGCAAAATTAAGAAATACGGATCAATTTTAGCGACAACCGTCCAATAATGTAAAATGCATGACTTTGCATTACAGTCCAGCGACGTGGTTTTTGACTTTGAGTCCTAGTGAATGGAAATGGTCCGATTTGGGTGAATATTTACGAGATATGAATCCCGATAAAGAGAAGTTAGGCATCAGCGAACTAGTCGCATACGATCCTGTAAGTACTTCTAGATTCATGTGCATAAAATTCAAAGCCATGATTGATTTTATTTGTTCGTCCGATAATCCAATAGGAAAGGTTATTCATTACTTCTGGCGACTGGAATATCAAAGTAGAGATATTCAGCACATGCATTGTATGATTTGGATAAAAGATGCTCCAGTAATAGGAAAATCGCCGGATGAAGAAGTTGCTACGTTTATTCAAAAATACGTAACGTGTGAAATTCCAGATGAAAATGTTTCGCCAACGTTGTACGATACGGTAATAAGTGATCAGAATCATAAACATAACTCGTATTGCATGCGTACGAAAAAAACGGAAACTAATATATACAGAAAATGTCGGTTCGATTTTCCTCGGTCAGCTACTGAGAATTTCGTTTTAAGAGACGTTATCACTTCGATAGTCGGTAGAAAAAATTTACGCAGTAAGAGCAGATTGTACGATCTTCCTCGCAAGGAGTCGGAAAGGTTTATAAACGATTATAATCCGGCTATCAAATTAGCCTGGGAGGGAAATATGGACATACAATTTATTGGAGAAAAATCAGAGTTTTTAAACTCATATTTAACAAAATACACGACAAAGTCGGAAAAATGCAATACAGACTTTGAAGTGATAGATTCGAATAAGTCCTTGGCATCGAAACTGTGAAATTTTGCAATGCGTTCATTAAATAACAGAGAATGCGGTGCTTTAGAAGCTGCGGATACACTATTAGGGAATCCCTTGTACGGTATGGATAATGATACCATGGTCAAATGGATCGATGTTAATGAGGTGAGAAATAGAAAAGTTAAAACATTTAATGAAATTAAAGCTCTCGATGAAAATTCTACAAATATTTACTGTTCGTCACTCATCGATAATTACTATCCAAATAGACCTCAGGAATTAGAATCATTGAATTTGTACGATTTTGCCAGGATTCTGAGAAATTACGAAACAGATGCCAAATAATGACGAAGTCAAGTGTTACAAACTGGCATCGGGTTTATTTAAAAAAAAACGAAAAAAGGGTTATTTAATTAACCATTATAGATTTAATATAAAAACTGAGCCCGAAAAATACTTTTACTCGCTGCTTCTTCTGTTCAAACCATGGAGAGATTTGAGCGAACTCAAAGGTACATTCGAGACTTACACGGATGCCTTTA